GGTGCGAGATGGAGAGATGGGCGCTTTCTGCCGCCCCAGGCCTGCAGCCGCCGGCGCAGCGATTCGCGGGGAGCGCGGGAGGACGGGGCGGGCTGATGTTGTGCAGCGCTGCTCTTAGATACGCGGCTGGAGGCCGCTGAGGCAGCGCTGGGCTCTGGGAGAGGGTTTCTGGGTGAGAGCGCTCGTTGGCGTCACGGTTCTGCAGGGCCTGCAACAGACTTGTTCCCTCTCTGGAGAAATAACCAATTCTGGTTCCCCCACCAGTGCCTTCGCTAAAATGCAGGAGGTTGTGAACCTTTTCCCTGACATAGGGATAGTTTTTGTACAAGGTAATGAACTCTCTGAGAGGCATGAAGACTAAAAGACTCCAGGCTGGGCTGTGAAGTCAACTGCCTGGATGCAGAAAGGATCTTTGGGCTCACGCTGTGAGTTTATGTAGTTTTCACAAAGCACAAATCAAAAGATTTAACGCTGCGTTGTTTTGTTTCATATATGGTTAAATCTTCACATTCTCCCCAAATTCCTTTTGGTTTTAAGGTGACACTTCGGGGTAGTCAGAACTCACCCTGCTTGAAGTTGAAAACTGATTCTTTTTTATCATGTAACTGTTTACATCTGTTCCCCGCTGCAGGACAGCAGTGATGACATTGAGGATGTGTCTCTCTTTGATGCGGATGATGATGTATCCAGGAGATCAAAGAAGTCAAAAATAAGGTCAGTGGCCATAGGGGGAGTTTCTAGATGAGTTCTAGGCAGAAGCCCTAAGAAGGAAGGAAGGAAGGAAGGACTGCCGTATTACATTGAAATATGTAATGGCAAATACCTTGTCTACTTGATTAGTGGTAACGGAGAGTAACTTTTTCATAAGTACCAATTCCAGAGTCTCAACTGGATTTTGTTGGTCTGTGGCTTCATGTGTCTGGGTGCCCTCACATTTAATACATGTTTGTCTTTCTGCTTGTGCAGAAGCTACACTGGTGCAATGACTCTGTGTAACGGGAGGTTCTCACCGTGTTGAGTGCTGGTTCTGGGCTAGTCCGTTATCTCTTCCCGAGTCTTTGTTCTCGAGTGTGTTTGGTGCTGCCCTGCTGTCTGCCATGTCCTGGCGTAGTTGGTCCAGCCGTCTCCTTCCTTGTTCTGCACAAACTCCTGCCACAGAGCAGAGTCCGTACACAGGTGCTGTGGTGACCCTGGCTCTGTACTGCACGTTTCTGACCCAGAAACTGCAGAAACAAGAAAGAAGGGCAACTCTGCTGTGTTGAGAAGTGTGACCTTTCCATCAGAGGTCTTTCTGCTGTCAGAACCTTTTTAAATTTACCCCATTAAAATTGCCTTACACTGAACACCAGGTAAAATTCTTGTCCCCTTCCACCCTGAATTCTGTTTGCACACGGGTTGCGGCTGTATGTAGAATGTGTCTTCCTTACGATGAGCTTCTAGTCAGTTTATTTCCCATGTTGTCAGCAGTGGTTGCACACTGGGTTCACGTTACGATGCTGATCCTTATCCTGTGAATTGGTGGGAGATTGCCTTGGCAATGTCATTTCTCTGAAATTGCTTCAGTCTTGTCTGAAAGAGCTGTGACTGCACTGTACTTCATTCCAGGCATCCAGTGGCATCATTTTTCCACTTATTCTTCCGAGTCAGTGCGATAGTTGTCTATCTGCTCTGTGAGCTCTTAACTAGCAGCTTTATTGCCTGCATGGTGACAATTATCCTCCTCTTGTCGTGTGACTTTTGGGCTGTAAAGGTAAGTTCCTCTTATGCTTTTTGTTATTTTTGTCTTACTATATAAGAATAATTGAAGAGAGTGATACTCATGTCACACAAAAAAGTAACTTCTTTGTGCCTTCCCAACAAAATGATACCCAAGATACCCTCAAGTACTGTGATGTATTGCAAAGTGTTAATGAAATAATAACTCCTAAATCTCTGTCTACATGACTTTTTGAAAATCAAATGGAGAACATATATTAGACGTTATTTTAAGGTAGCACAGGCTTCGTTATCAGATCACTTTCGAATCACCAGAAATATGCCTTACTTTATATTATAACAGTAATTTATTATTGCACTGGACATATCAGAAAATAGGTTGTTGTGGACATAAGAGCCATGTAACCTTGTTTTCCCAAATGTGAGGCAGATGAGCAGCCTTCAAAACAGCAACCCAAACAGCCGAACTTTGGCAAATGGTTTCTTGTAGAAGCTAAAAAGCTAATTGCTTTTCTTCTATTCAGAATGTCACAGGGCGACTGATGGTTGGCCTTCGCTGGTGGAACCAGGTGGATGACGATGGTAGAAGTCACTGGGTATTTGAAGCCAGGAAGGTAATTTTCTTTTTTTTTTTTTTTTTTCTTTTTATTGTTTCTGTTTTATAAAACCCCTATTAATTGGCGGTTATGCTTGTGATGATAGATTGCACAACAGAGACATTTACTTCCAGCCACAGATCTGTAAACGTGGGCTTGTTCCACGTAGGCTGCTGAAAGAACTTTGTGATTGTTGAATTATTTAAAAATTCCCATGATTTGGCTTAATGTAAGTAACATAAAGGTTCCACATAAAATGCAGTAAAGGTTCCGATGTCATGCCAGTAACCTGCAAATTTTCTGGTGTGGGCTTGAAACAGCTGATGTAGCTGTTACCTCCTGTCTACATTGCACTAGAAAACTATTGGAAGTAGGAGGAAATGTATAGCGTTCATCGTGGCTATTGCTTTGTCTTTGTGTTCATGATGGCTACTGCTGCCTCCCTAGTATCCCATCTGTCGGGCACCTCACAAGGTGTCACGCATTTACCCTTTTGATCCCTGTCTCTTATCTCTGTTTGTATGGAACTAACAGCATGCAGATCCGCAGTGAGGTAAGGATAGTTTCCTGCAGTCACGTGGGAAGTTGCAGTGGTGTAGGGACTTGAACCCAAACCTTTATCTGGCTGAGTCTGCGCCCTCGCTACGGGCACATTCTTTCTCAAAACTGTGCTAGTTTAGAAAAGCTAGAACATACTGGGGGAGGAGGGGGAAAGGTAGCTGAACTGCTGGTGATGCTGTAAATTTACCCAGAAGTTAACCCAGTCCAGATATTTTAATTATTATAGGAAGAAGTGAGTGCTTGCTTGGGATCTTCTCTGTAAAGACTTCATAAAATCAATAGTGTAGAGTGAATCACACCTCTGTGTGTGTAAAGGAAAAAATTACCCTACTTTAATGCCTAAGAGTATCATTATGTAGTTCTACCAGTGCTGGGATTAGTGAAATTCTGGTTGTCTGTGCAGTGACTTGGAGGTAGCAAACATTAGTGGTTGGACTGTTTCTAAGCATTTTACTGAACCATGCAGTAAATGTCATGTTTCCCAAACTTAACCTTTTTTGCCCTAAGCTTTCCGAGAGGATTTGATGCTGCTGCCTCCGCTGTTTCTGATAGAAAATTGACAAAAGGGTCCCTTAAATGGAAATGTCTTCTGTTGCAGAAAAATCTTTATGTGATGTGGAAATTGATCTTGGAAGCACCCAGTACTGTTGTGTGGAGGCAAAAAGCAGGGGGCTTTCAGATTCTGGACTATTTTTAATGACAATGTGATCTGTGTTAATCTCCATTTCCTTTCTGTTTCTAGGCATCAGCACAAGGGAGTAAAACCTCATCAGAAGCAGAGTCCCGAATTTTCTGGTTAGGTCTAATTACCTGTCCTATGATCTGGGTGATATTTGCTTTCAGCGCTCTCTTTTCTTTCAAAGTGAAATGGCTGGTGAGTGGACTCCCTCAACCCGGTAACAGGTCCTGTGTGTTACAGGCAAGGCGGTGTAAATCAGTGATTGTGTTTTCCTGTGTCTTAGGCAGTGGTTGTGATGGGAGTGGTGCTTCAGGGAGCAAACCTTTACGGTTATATCAGGTGTAAAGTTGGCAGTAGAAAGAACTTGACAAGCATGGCGACCAACTATCTTGGGAAGCAGTTCTTGCGGCAGGTAAGATTTGCAGGGTTTTGGAAACCCTTCCAGTCATATTTGTGTCTGTCCATCAGCTCCCTGACTGCCTGGACCGTGAAAAGAAAGACTGAAAAAATTGTTATTTGTAGTTCTGCAGAGGGAACCTTCACCCCTTGCTGCCTTGTGAATTTGAGCCCCTTTAAAGTCACAGAGTAACTCGCTACTTGTTGGCATCAAGTTCCATTTGCAGTGCATCGTGAGCTCTTATTTGCTGGTGCTATGGACAGGTGCCATAGAAGTTACTGGAATATGGCTGGTACATTGGAAATAAGGAACACGGTGAACGTGGCGACAGAGCAAAAGGGTTTTTGATAAAATACTGCTCCTGGATAATGCGTTGCTAAATTGCTCCTTTCATTGCACTGCTTCCTCCTCAGGTTGTGCTAGCCACAAACCTGTGCGTCTGGAGGGACGTTGCATTGGTCCCTGTGGTTCTGCGTGCAGCTGCAGCGTGTAGCTCTTAGCTGCAAGGGCTGGGTTTTATATTATTTCTCACTTCCAACCAGCTTTTCTCAACAGGTCCTTTTCTGCCCCAGAGCTGGGTTTTCTTCCTTCCGTAGATCCTAGCAGCAGTAGGCACAACCGACCCCTGTTCCACTTCAACGCTGTCATTTCACTTCTGCTTTTACCGGGTTTCCTGGCTGTGGCTGGCTGTGTTATGCAGATGACTCTGGGGAAAGGTGGTTTGGCTGCTACAGGTTCACAAATGTTTGCTGGAATTATTGTCATTAGCGCGATTGCAAACTGAAACACTGATGAAGTGTTCTTCTTGGCAGTCTGTGCTGGGACTGTGCTCTTCTGTAGCTGGATTTGCTTCTGAATGCTTTTACCACTGCAGTGGTTAACCAAAGGCCCAGACCAGTCTCGGTCTCTCACAGAAATGTGTGTCTTGCCCCAGATTCATGGCAGTGGGTCACATAATTTTCCTGTACTCCTTTTTTTTTTTTTTCGCTTTCTGCAGACTGTGGCTAAAGAGGACCAAGCAGCATCTTGAGCGTGGTGGAAGCCTCAAGCCAGACTGGATCCACAGTGGTGGACGACATAGAATGTTGCTCTGACCATGAGATTTGGGAGCTGCATACGTGAGGTGTGAATTAAAAGAAGTAAATAAATTGTGCAAGACTTCAGGTTAACACTTCTAGCAACTTATATTCAATTTTCCACTAGCAGTTTGTGTTTCAGTCCTTTGTTTAGTTTGATTAATCAGAATTAATTTGCCTAAACCTTAAATTAAAAGTTATCTTAGGTGGCTGTCATACAGATTTAGAACTCCTGGATGAATTAAGAGAAAATTGCTGAACATCCTCCTTCAGAAAAACCATGCACAAGCCGAGCCTTCTGTTATCCAAGAACTCCCCCAACTCCTCCAGCAGTTGGTGCCTCAAATACTTTCAGTTGTGGATTTTGCTGCATTTTGTTCTTGGAGGCCATTGCTGCTTCTGTTAAGGAGTTTAGGTAGTGCTCTTTTGCCTCCACGCCTCTCTCATTCTGTGATTTTAACAGCACTGAGGTGGTTACAGTGAAGGACATCTAAAAGGAAATATTGCTGTTGGCTTAGTGGGAAGATTATTAAGTCTTGTGGAAACTGCAGAAAGTGGCTTCTGAGCAGCTCCAGACTTTTTTTTTTTTTTTTTTTCAATAATCTAAAGCTTACTTGGAGGTCTCGGTAACATCTTAAACCCCTGGATTTATGGGAAGTCCCTCTTCTACCTGTAGGCCTGCGTCTGTGTGGAGAGCGTAGCGAGAGTGAAACCAGGTCACGAGGAAGGCTGCAGGCTCAATTTCAGAGTAGTCGTTGTCTGCCGAACGCCGTTAAAGCTTTGTAGCGTGTGTTTGGTGTCGCAGGTCGTCTTCTCTGGCCAGGAAGGTGTAGGCTGGTGTGATCTCCAGTTTCCTCGCCAGCCACTCGGCACAGGATCGCAGGGAACGGACCGGCCAGGGTTTTCGTTTCTTGAATCCATGCAGCGTCCTGTCCTCAAGCTGTGCTCCCCGGGAGTCTGTGGCTGGAAAAAAAGTGTTTTGTAGGGCGGTGAACTGTTGGCTGGCAGTGTTCACTTAGGTGGCAGAAAGTGGTGTGTTTTGTGTGAAAAGCTGTATGAAAGGGCTCAGTTCCTTCTTGTCATGTAATTCTGTTCAAGGCAGATTGTGCTTTCACAGCGGCGGATGTTGTCAAGGTATTTTAAATTAAGAACGCGGTTTCTTTTTGAATAATGGGTATTGTCAATTGTGGGATTGCATTTACACAATTTCTCTCCCTGTACTGTAGCAATACTTGGGAGCTGTACATTTGTTTAACTCTTTGGATTGATACCTTCCTTTTGTAAATATGTATTTATAAAATCTTGAAATTAAAATAATGCTTTGTTTAACCAGACCAGGTGTCCCTTCTATGATTCATGGTTGAGCTCTCTTTATACACCGTGTTCTTGTAAGGTGGCTTTAACGGGGGTTACTTGTCAAGTTAATCGGCGCTGCTTAGCGAGCTCTGGCACAGTTCTTTTCACCCAGGGGTCTTGGACAGTTTTCCCTCTGCAGACGCTTTCTTTGTAAGCGTGCTGGAGTCGTTATCATGCAGAGCTGAAGTAATTGTCACTCTGTAATGCTCAGCTGGAGTGTGGATGCTCCTTCTGAGGGCACTGAGAGAGCCCCTCTGCCCAGGTCCCTGGCTCGCTCCCGGCACGTGGCAGCGTGCCACCATGGAGCGGGAACTTCTAGCCCCCGCTTACCTGGAAGGGATGATTTATTTCTGAGGAATGAATGTAAAAAGGCCAAATGAAGTCAGTCACTAAAGTAAAGGCACTTCTGCAGCCACGTGGGGATGCGCAAGTGCAGCGTCTGGCCAGTACGGCTTGATGGGATGCAAATCCTTTCTGCTCCGGTCCAACAAGCCCCCAGTTTGCCGCTGCTGTCGGAGGGACGGCACTGACTCCGGCACAGCTCCAGCCACGAGGTAGTTGTTTTAAAATGTGTTGAAAATTTTGGACTTAATGTTTATTCTCCTGCTGCCAAAGCTCCCCCCAAACTGCTGGAAAATAGAGAGTGCTTTTCTGGAAGTTGCAGTTTATTTAATCAAGGACAGAGGCATTTATTAGTAGATGTCTTTAAATATAGCCCTCTTTGGCTTATTTTTAGCCTCTTGGCAAACATTCAGTCTTTTTGGCTTCTGAGAAGCTGGCGTTTTATTGCGTTTCTCTACAGCGTGGATCAGAACCAAATTTCTTATCGCTGCTCCACTTGGGTGTGAGTCGCGTTTGATTTTCACTCGCTGCCTGCTGGGGTTTCCTGGGAAGCGGGAAGTGGGAGTGGCCGCAGAATGGGGAAATTCTCTGAATGTGCTTTTTTTTCGACAAGCCTTGGGAATCCACGCTAAGCCAGTATTTTGAGCATTAGCCCTGTAGTGGTGGCCCCACCTAAGACCTCCAAGCCTGGGTGGTGGCTGAACTTTCAGGGTTTACAGAAACAGAAATACTCCAAGAGCAATAAAAAGAAAGTACTATTTGCTCTGAAATGGCAACGTATGGCTCGGGTGTTGCAAACACAGCTGAAAGGTGGGCTTGAAATCATCCTCATTTTATAAGCAGAGCCATTTTGAGTCCTTGAAGCATTAGTGTCTTGGGCCAGCGGGGGGTTTGCTCACAGAGTTGGGGACAGGACGGACCCTGGGGGACATAGGCTGTCTGGTTTGGACTATGCGAGGCCTCATCCTTCCCGTGTGTCCTAGGGATGAGCTGCTCCGTTGCGCTTTGGCCGTGGCAGGGATCTGTCCTCTCCTGCTGCTGCAGACCAGCCTTGGTTTGTCCTCACCCACGCACCCCAAACGCTGATGCCTTACGCTCTGCAGCCAGCTGGGGGCTGGAGTCCCCAGGGAAGGCGCCTGATTTCAGGGGCAGAAGCAATGTTTCTTCTGATGTTGTGCTTTAACGTTACTGTGATGCACCTGGATATTCTCAAACCACAAAAGCTTTAGAGGCAGTTTTGCCCCATTGGGTGCATCTCTGTGCTACCCTCCCCTGCCCTGGGGAGCGCCGCAGGGAAGGGTGAAGGAGGGATGCTGAGTGCGCAGGGGCGACCCGGTTCCGGGCACTTGGAGCCTCTCTTGTCTTTTCCTCCAGAGATTTCTTGGAGACTTGCCGGGCCCGGAGGGCTGCAAGGAAAGGTCTATTGTAGTTGCTTGGAAGAGGCCACGGTCAGCCCTGCTCACACAGGACAGGACATCCCAGCTGGTATTTCCTAAACAAAAAACTGCAGTGACGAATGGAGAGTGACCTTTGGGGAGACCAAAGGGAGTGGGGGTGCGGGTGAGGGGGGTGGATGTTGGCCAGGACCCAGCGCCGCTTCCAGGGCTCCTGGCAGGAAGGAATTTCTCGCTTCCCTCCTGCCTTTCTGTGCGAACGGCCCCAGTTTAGGAGCAGGCGTGCGTCCCTTCCCACCCTGCGAACCCACGGCAAACCGAGAGCCTCCCCACCGCCCTGATAAGCCAGGCGAAGGGTAGAGAGAAAGGAAATGCTATTTTTGTTTGACTGATAGCAGCATTTTTATACCACAAAGGCCACGTGGGCCCGTCATTATCTGCCTGTGTGTGCCGAAAGCAAACCGGGTGTGTTGAACGCGATGCCAGTTCCTTCCTGTCCTCTCCGGTGCCAGCGTGTGGCTCGGGGCAGCTGACGTCGGGGACGCGCTGTGCTGGTTTCCGTGGCTCAGCCACAAGCTGCAGCGCTCGGCTGCTTGAATTTCACTCCTGTTCCTCAGGGGGAGGCATCGCCTTTGGGTGCTGCGGTGGGGACAGCCTCTTCCTCGGCTGGCAGCAGATATGAGCGCTCCCAGCTCTGTCTTGAGGCTGCGAGAATGGCTCTCTGGGTCCCACTGAACCCATCAAACCCAAGCTTTGTCTTGAGCAATAGGTAATTCCATGTGCCTTGCAAAGGCTCTATGGAAATAGCAAACTCACAGCCACGCTTCCAGGAACACCTTTTGTACCTCCGCAGGTTTGTGGCTCCCTTTATGTCACCTGATGGATTTTGCTGCCGTTAATTTGACTGATTCTTTTCTGAGCCTACACAGACTTCTAGGGTTTGCAGTGTCCTGCAGCAGAGAGCTTCACAGGTTCGCACTGGCCATGGAAAGATGCTTCACCTCTCGTTCGTGTGGAACCTGCCTCCAACTTAATTTGGTGCCCATCTTGTGAGGGAAGGGAAGGTATTCCGTGTTTGCCACCGTACACGGTAGAAAGACGCTGGGTTTTGCGTTAAACGTGGGGTTTGAAATCCCCAGACAGACTGAAACTACGGCTGGGATCCTGCTGGATCAGCTTGCTAAAGATCCAAGGTCTCCGCTGTCAAAAGCCACCCGCTAACGCTACAGTGCCAGGAGCAGTTAACATCCTTCAGGACAGAGATTACTGTTTGCCAGGATGTGTCCCAGCAAGGTCACGGGTTTTATTGGGGTAAAGATGTCCAGGAGGACATTGTGGCTTCATGTCCAAGAGGACTTTTGTAAGGAGACGGTTGAGCAATTGGACCTCAGGAGAAGATTTTGGATGTGGGGAGTTGTGGGATTCCTTCCAAATATCTTTCTTTTCTATTCCCGGCAGGGCTGAGGATGACTCAAATGCTCTGCAGGGACTGGAGGGTGCTTTGATGCCTGGCAAGGAAAGCAGGCCAGTGTGAAAAGGAGCAGGCAAGCCTGGGGCTGACACGCTGTTTTTAATGCATTTACGTGTTTTGGGCTAATCCCAGCTCTGTGCCTGATATTTCACTGGGGCAAGCTGCACAGGGATACACACGGTTTTCCAATGATACTCAGAAATGCTGGCAGGGGTTGTCCCCGTTTCTCAAGATGGGTAACAAGGAGCAAAATCAATGCCTTGCAGAGTGGCCGGGCTTGTCCAGGGCTCAGCAGGTCCATCACAGGGCAGGACCCGGCCCTGGGGAGGCAGCGGGGCAGCACGAGGCGAGACAGGGTGTTTCTTACAGCGAGCGGGCTGTGGCTTCCCAGCGCTGACGGATGGCAAAGGGCAGAAGTGCCTCTGGGGTATGGGACGCTGCTGCCAACCTTCCTCCGTGCTGCCCAGCATGAAATGAACCCTGGGGTGACTGTGGGCACCCGGTCCCTGTGGCGCCTTCCTCACCCAGGCGCCCCGTTTGCACTCAGAATTAGCGTTTGAACCCGGGCACAGCTCCCGCTAATCTTTTATAGCAGGAGGGTTTCCTTCGAGGGGCAGGTTCCTGCAAGCCCAGGGCTTTGTGTGTCTCTTGCCGGGTCTCGCACGCCTGGGCTTTCGGTTTTTAATGATGCGCCAGTGAGGTGAAAGCGCAGGGTCTCTGCCAGGCACGGTTTCTGGTGCCGACATGCAGCACCTGCCGCGGCAGCTCGGTGGGCGCTGGGAGCAGCGTTGGCCAAGTTCAAATTCATGGAAAAGCGGTTCACTTTGACTCTCCTAAAGACGCGATCCTACAGCAGACGCAGCGTCACAGCTGTCTCCTGGGCTTTCAGAGCATAGTGAAGCATCCACTGAGCAGTTTTTATATCTGCAGGTAAAAGCAGAAGGGTTTTTCTGTGTTGTCCTGCTTCCTTTCTGTTTCCTTATAAGCGAACTCCGCACACTTTAAGGGCCAGGGAGGACCTCGTAGTCCTCCCAGAATCCTTAAAAAAAACCCTGGTATCACGCTTGCCACCTTCCACCCCTGTGGCAGCAGAAGCAGTCGGTTTGTCCGGGGATTAGTGGCTCGGTGGGTTCATCCCTCAGCCCTTTGGGCTCCTCCTGGAAACCTCCTTGGCTTGCTGAGCTTGCCGTGTTATTCCCCTTTGTGCCGCCGGCTTGCGCAAACCTCCTATTTAGTTCATTTTGGGTGAGTTCTTTAGATTTTTTTTTCCCTCTTTTTTTTTTTTTTAAATTTTTTTTCAATCACGCAGCGATGTGTAAACAACTCCATAGTAACCACTGGAGTACATGAGTCATTCAGCTTTTCTGCCACAGGACATACTCGCTCTCGCCTCCTGTTATGTTTCCAGATTAAAGGAGGGTTTCGCTGTTGAGATGGTTACTCACGGTTTCCTACTGACTGTACCCGTGTTGAGTCCGGCCCTTTTTTGACGGTTCGTATGACTTTTCCCCGGTTAGATAGATCCTCCACCCCTGTGGGACCTGCCACGCTTGGCGTCCATCCCCTCTGCTGTAAGGTTTAAAACTCCATATAAGTTTCTTTTAACTGGTAGCTGGAGTATGTTTTCCTTTTCTTGGAGCCCTCCCTCACATCTGGAGCGTGTTTCAGC